CAGCCGTCCCAGCTCTTTCCAAAATGCTTCCGTTTTATGCTTTCCCGATCCGTAGTACAGGTTAATTTGCTTTTTCAAGGCAACATTTGCTTTCTAAAAAAATAATCTAAAAATTTATTTCATGTGCCTAAATGTTCCAATCAATCTGATCAGTACATTGGCAAATCCAGACCTTTCACACCCCCTCCCCCCTCTCGCCTTTAAGGGTTCAGGTAGCAGTTATTTTACTGCACAAAAGTCTGTTTGATACCTCCTTTTGCCCTCCCCCCATCCCAGGAGCCCTGCTACTCTCAGTTTAGTGTCCACCAGCGAGGGAGGAGGGGGTTGTGGGGGTTGCTGATGCGATGATCACGTGGAAGAAAGGGGTGTAACTCTTACACTTATTCGAATTTTATTTGAATTTCATAAGCTTACAACGACCCTCACAGAATCCTGAGTGCTGTGTATGTATAAATGTGTAGATATATATGTGTGCGTGTGTGTGTGTGTCTGTATCTCTGTCTTTTTAAAACGTCAACAAAACGAGAAAAAAATGCCTCCCTTCCCAGGAGGACGCTCTGGATCCACCTATGGAACAGCAAGACTTGAGTTCACTGTGGTTCAGGAAAATCATGATTTGTAGCAAGGTATTAATGTCTAGCACAAATTCTGAAGACATCTTGAAACGACAGCGACGTGCCAAGTGCTCAGTGCGCAGACGTTTTAGCAGGCAGCCTTTTTTCAGGGGATAAAACAAAAGTCAGAATCGCCAGTGTCTGGCCATCAAGCAGTGCAGTATTGCACAGCGCAATTTTGTTGCAAAAAAGAAGGGGTTAATAGCAAAGTAATGAAGTTGGTGGCTAATTCCTTTCGTCTTGCCCAGTTACCCGCTCGATTCCATGTGATATGCAAATGCTCCGTCTCCTGACTCGAGTTCTCCCTCCGTGATATGTAATGATGTGATTAGAAATGAAATGGAGATTGTTTTGGGGTGCCAGATTATTAATGTACGGCGCAATTTGAAGCTGTTATCGCTTCTCTCCTTCGATCCTACATTTTGTGCGTGCTGTATGGCAACAGCCTGAAGCTACTGCCGAATTTTCCGCTCTTCTCGGTTTGTTTCTTTTGTCTTTTTTTTT